GGAGCATTGACAGGTTAGATGACTTGCCCAGGATCACACAACCATTATGTGTCAGAGGAAGGTGTGAACACAAGTCTTCTTGACTCAGCAGTAAGCTGACTCTATGTTCATTAAACCATTCAGCTTTGTCTGAAATCTTACCCATCCCAAAAGACTTAGCTTAAATCTTTCTACTGCAAGAAGTCTTTCCTGAAACCCTCTGTCTCAGGAGATATTGGGCTCCCTGCCACTTCCTGGATGACCACTTTCTGAGGATGTTGTAGAGGGCATGCCTGTGCATCTACAGGTTGGACTCAACCTCTGAGTTCTCTTCCAGTTACTGATCCGGTGGACAGGGGTCACACATTTTTATCTTCCTCAATACAGTATCCTGCACATTGTAGGTACTTAATTAAGTTGTTGAATTCCTTTACATTGTATTGCAGGTTGCTAAGGCTTGTCATTCGTGGGGCTCATAATCAGTAAAGAAATAGAAATGCATTTAGGGGAACTTTAGAGTACTTATTTTGTACCACAAAAAGCAGACATCCAACTGTGGATTATTGAGGCAAGCCTCATTTTAATAAGGGGAGCCAATGGAAAGTTCTTTGGCACTTACCCTGAACCGCAGAGCATGTTCTCAGATCTGATTCTGATAGAGGATGTCCCCAGGCCCTGTTGCTAGATACAGTGTTGTGCCTGACTAAATCCAGTACGCTTTGTGACCTTCTGACCTGTCAGAATGGAGCAAGGTATGTGGAAGCTAGACTTTCTATACCTTACACAGGTGTGCCTTTTGCTCACCCAGTCCTCCTCCACTATTTTGGTTTCAAAAGAAAATAGAAAGGCATCTGGAGTCACATTTTTCAAGAATGACTTGAATTTAGTCAAGAGTTTGTCAGTTGTCTAGGCACTGGAGAAATAAGAACCTCTCAGAGATTTCCATGAAAAGACTAGTACACAAGTTTCAAGTTATGTCAGGTTTTTTTGGCTGTTTTTTTTTTTTTTCATGCAGTCTAAGGAAAATTATGTTATGTTTTGGGTTTTTTAGGTTTGTCTGTGAGGACACAGTAGAAGAAAAGATCTCGCACCTTCAGACCAAGAAGAAGGATTTAGCTACACAGGTTCTGTCTGGATCTGGGGAATCCTTCACCAAGCTCACTCTTGCTGACCTCAAAATCCTCTTTGGCATTTAATTTTCCATCTAAGACAGAACTGAACAACCTAGCTGGGGAATTTTCAGATGTTTCTATGTTGATTTGTTTGGGCATCTGCACCCTGAGTCCATCAATTCTCTATCTGAAGTAGATAATATTTTACATCATGATTCTTTTGGAGTTATGGTGGATCATTGTATTGGTCAACGTTGCTAAGTCTTTCACAACTAATTATGTTTGCAGTATTGCTGTTACTATGTAGATTATTCTTCTGCTCACTTCACTTTCTATCAGGTCATATATGTCTTCCCAGGTTTTTCTGAAAGCTTCCCCTTCATCATTTCTTACAGCACAACCATCACGTTCATAAACCATAACTCGTTCAGTCATTCCTCAACTGATGGGCACCCCCTCAGTTTCCAATTCTTTGACACCATGAAAAGAGCTTCTATAAATATTTTTGTACATGTGGGTCCTTTTTCTTTGATCTCTTTGGAATACAGACCTAGTAGTGGTATTGCTAGGTCGAAGGGTAAACAGTTTTATAACCCTTTGGGCATAATTCCATATTGTTCTCCAGAATGGTTGGACCAGTTCACAACTCCTCTTTTCTCATATCCCCTCCAGCATTTGTCGTTTTCCTTTTCTGACATCTTAACCAATTTGATGGGTGTGAGGTGGTGTCTCAGAGTTTTTTTGACATTGTTTCTAAAGAGATTTTTCCCTCTTCTCTTTAGTGGAGAGTTGCTTAAACTAGGGCATTCTGCAAATACACAAGAGCTATCCCCCAGGTTACAAAATGGCAGCTTTTGGAGATATGTTCTTGAGAGACTCCTTGAAAAGAGCTTATATTAGCAGGGGATCATTCTGAACTATAAGAAAGGAAGGTAACTTTAGACATCAACTTTCCTTTGGCCCCTGTGCCGTCCAGCTGCTGGGGTTTGTTGACCACTGCTTTGCAGCCTCTGGCAAGTCATGCTTTGTTCTTGTTGGCGCTGCTTAGCATGGCTCCAAGCTGACCCCAAACTGCCTAAAGATACTCGTCTAGTTGTGTTGGGTGCCACTAAGTACAGTTTCTTTTTCTGGTCATCTTATAAAAGTTAACATTGCCAGAAAATTGATACAAGGTGCGCTTATAGCTACTATTCTTTATTGTATAGGACTGCTACTTTAGAGGAAATCCATGAAGAATTATAGTAGGATTTGAGGAGCTCTTACCACAAAAATGCGAAAGTGAGGATTATTGTGCTTTTAGGCTATTTCTGGGCATTATTCAAACCAAAAACTTATCACACACACACGATAAATAGAAAGGGGTCAACTACATGTTATAACAGACAATACAATACCCAGCCAGTGGCTTCTCTGCTCCATTGGTTCCTTTCTGCCCTCATACAGTACTTGGAATTAAGAAACCTAAGGCCTTTTTTATGTTAACTGAATAAGGCATGAATGTTTGATCTTTAGTTCAACCACCCTTTCCTTCCCTATTGAGACAGATAACCCCACAACTACAATCCCTTGGTGGGGAGGAGAGGAGCAGGTGGGAGGAAGGGGCTAAGGACTATGGCACAAGGAAAGAGTTGTCTTTCATTCAGCAGTGCTGTGCTGCTGTTTTAAGGTTTCAACGAAGGTAAGCTTTTGTCGGTAGTTCAGCTATAGCATCAAATGTGTACTTTGTCATAACATCCCTTTATATACAGGGTATCCTGAAAATCTTAGTGCAGTCTTAAGCTTTAATAAGTTTAGAAGTATAATTACTACAGACTTAAAAAATTACTTAAAAGTTTTATTATTCAAATTTCTCTTATTTTAGTTTTAACGAATGGGGCACCATGTCACACAATGTATGTGTGATAGTTTCTAGATGACACTTTCACAGACCAGTGGATTGGTAGAGGAGGTCCTCTTCCTTGGCCACTTGACTTTTTTGAGGGAGTAGCATCATGTCACAACTGTCATATATGCACCAGAACCTTATTCTCCGAATGAGCTGAAGGTCTGGATTACAAATGCCATCCTTTCAGTCACAGAGCAGCAGCTGTAGAAAGTTTTCATAAAGTTTGACATTAACTAGAGTGATAGCACAAGATGGTGGTTAATGTCGAATCTGAATAAGAAACATCAATATTTCAAAATTTTAAATTTTTTTTGTAAATTGTAGCACCTCTGCTTCTGAAGTTATTAAAGATTAAAAGAGCATTAAAAATTTTGGGGGCACCTGGTATACTGGTACTTAAATACTGACAAATTAAAGTTGATCTCCTTGAAGCCATTTCCTGCCTTGCCCTCAGAAAGCTTCCTGAATCACTAAGTCTTGGCTTTGCCACAAAGGAGAGCTGAAGTTCTAAAGATAACATTTTGTAATTCATTTGCTCTCACAAGTTGTCCATTTTTTCTGCTTGTACTTGAATTTTTACAAGAAATATCTTGTTCAGTTAAGTAATTCTAGCTACATTTATACAGCACTTGAAGGTCTGCAAAGCTTAGAAATATATATTAAGATTTTTTTGTTGTATTAGGAGGTTTTAACAAATAACAGTGTTACCCAATTTCCAATGCGCCCTGATCTGAAGCAGATGGTACATTTCCCCTCCTTCAGTTTTTCAGATTCTGAACTGGATTCATTAATAGCCCAGGGTGGGGTGGGGGAGGGGAATGAATCCAACCAGGCTTCTTCACCAGGAGCTATTCTCTTCATGTTTGAGGCAATCAGAATAGTCCTGGCTACTTGCAGTTACATAAACTGTCTCTTGGAAAACAACTCAGTAAGACAAGCATTTGAGAAAAGGCCGGATTATTTTATGTAGCATTTTGCTAAATGAGGTACACACGAGACGTCTAGTTTATCTGTATGTATTCCAAAAGGCATCTGAGATAAAGTGTACAAAACAGGTTTAATGCTAAATTACAACCAGTCTTCTTTCAACCTCAGAGCAGAAAACTACCACAAAGACGTAAAATGGTTATCTGACTACATATTAAAGTTATTATTGCTCCTATTAACCAAAAGGAGATCTTGCAAGTTTAACATAAGGTATGTATATCTCTAACTCTAGGAGCCTGAGATATCCAGCTCTGGATAGGAGAATCTATTTAAATTAGAAAGTATCCTTTTTTTCCCCCATGATTATCATATAGTAGCAAAACCTCTTTGGAGGTTAAGATGATGATATTAATTTACCATCAGCAAGAAACATACCTTGATTTTTAGCCAGTAGGGGCAGCTAGGTGGCACCATAGTGCATAGAGTGCAGGGCCTGGAGTCAGAAAAGCTCATCTTCCTGAGTTCAAATCTGGCCTCAGACACTTCCTGGCTGTGTGACTCTGGGCGAGTCATTTAACCCTGTTTGCCTCAGTTTCCTCATCTGTCAAATGAGCTGGAGAAGGAAATGGCAAACCACTCCAGTATCTTTGCCAAAAAAATGGGGTCACAAAGAGTCAGACACAACTGAAATGACTGAACAACAACTCTACTCGCCTGAAAATAGTAGCTATGGAAAGGAAAGCTCTATTTAGATTGGAAAATATCCTTTTTTCATGATTATTATCTATCCGCACAGCCTCTTTGCAGACGAAGATGATGCTGTTGATCTGCCATCGGCAAGAGACATGCCGTGGATGTAGTAGTGGTAATAGCACTACTACAGGAAGGAATAGCACTACTAATAGGAAGTAGTGGTGATAACGTGCCAAGCCATGAATCCATGTGGTCTTTCCCTTGTAATAAAGGACACGCCGTGAGACACTGTAACAGTGACACAAAACCACGTAGTCCGAAGCTTCATTCGGGTGCCATCACCTCAGTAACACACAGATGCACTGATCTAGATGGTAAGATAAGGCGCATTTATTTTAGTGGTTTCTTCAGAATTAATCAGCAGCTCTGCCACAAGGCCTGGGGACTTCCTGCTAAGTGACAATCATGCAATCTCGGCCTTTTCATCATCAGATAACTCAGAGTGCCACCGTCCTGACCAGGCTCCTCTGGGAACTCCCCGCCTCCACTCTCCACGAGCAGTCCGACTTCTCCTTTGTAGCTCCACAGCACGACCAATGATGGCAGCCTGGGTGACCTTTGTGTCCATGTCCACAACCTTGGTACCCACCTGCCCCGCACAAACAAGAGAGCGAGAATTAGACTGGGCTCTAAAAGTTCCGACGGGAATGAGGCTTCCCAAAGGCAAGTCTTTGTCCATATTTTCTATCCACTTTTGCATGATGGTTTTCCTTGACAGAAGGTGAGATCCTGGAGGGCAGGGACTGTTTCATTTTCTCTTTCCAGCACTTAGCCCTGTGCCTTGTACAGAGTGATGCTTAATGAAAGCTTCTTGTTAACTGATCAGCAGAAGCCTCGGTCTGGTGGAAGGGAGACCAAGCAGCAGCTTTCAGAAAGAAAGCCCTGCAAATCAACTCTTAACATAGTCAGCTTTGGCCATGGTACAGCATGAAGTTCAGTAACTGTAGTCAAGATACTGCTAACAACAACTGCTGACTGAAGCACCTAGAGGTTATTAACACAGTGCTTTATCAACATTGTCACCTGATCTATCGATCAACAACCATGTTAGCCAGAACTTTTATCTTAAATAAGTTGGTAGATAAGAAAGGTAATGTGGTTTGTTTTGGGGGGAGGCAGACAGGATTAAGTGACTTTCCCAGAGTCATACAGCTGTAAGTATCTGAGGGTGGGTTTGAACTCACATCCTCCTGACTCCAGGCCCAGCCCTCTACCCACTGTGCCACCCAGCTGCCCTAAATTAGTTATTATGAATCATTATTTTAATCATATTACTTAATCAGTACATAGCCAGGAGTATACAGCAGCTAGGACAAGCACTGCAGATAGCTGGGACCTCAGGACCTTTCTAGTCCAGCTCCCTCATTTTAGAAAATAATCTGAGGTCCAGGGAGAGTGACTTGTCCAAGATCACGTGGAGAGTAAGAATCAGAGGCAGGACCAGAACCCAGGTTCTCTGACTGCAGAACCAGCACTTTTCCCTTTGTACCAAGTTGAGTGAAGCCTGGCCGAAAGGGAATAACAGATAAGGAAAAGTGGAGAGAAGGTGGAGAGAAATGAATGAGTGAGTGCAGGAGAGGGGTGGACCTTCTGAAATCTACTTTCTGGTCTACCACTGTGCCAAAGAAATCTCTGAACAAACCTCCCTTCCACGAGCAGAACCAGAAGTGGTCTAACTGAATTATTTTTCCCGTCTGACATGGCTCAGCCCTCTAGGGTTCACACCAAAGTCAGGATCAGCTGCCTCACGGCATAACTAGGAAGTTCTCAAACTGCAGCCTAGTTCTTAAGAGAACCCTCCAGACCAATGTGCACAAGGACGTCCTGTGTCTCCTAGACCCACAACTAAGTCAGTTGGTCATCAAATCCAATGGCTGCAAGACATGGGAAGAGGAATGTAGGTCCTGCCACATGTGCTCAGATGCTGGGGCACCTCACCTGCCATGGTTCCTCCACAGGCACACCGGGCACTCTTCTGGCCCCCACTGGAACAGAATGAGCAGCAATGAAAGATGCCCTGGTGTTGGCGGAACTTTCTCCTCACTATCATTTTGTATGGCGAGCCCTACAAAACCATAACTGTGTTAGAGGACAGGCTCTCCATTTGGGAAATGATTATCAGTGATGGTTTAATTTCTGCATGAGTTAACTCCAATCTCTGAAGTGAATCCTATATCAAACTACAAGTATCTCTACATCCTATCTACCCAACATTGCTAAATGCCCAGGAAGAAATGCAGGATCCCAGTCAGCTGTCTAGACTGCTTACTACCACTTTCTACAGCTCAGATCTAAAATGTCACGTTCTTACATGTAATGGATAGAAAAACTGGACAACTCCCACCTCAATGTCTATGACAGAACATCTCTGTCCCAAACCAATACAAGGTGGGCAAAGTGGCGTGGACACAACCCTCCTTGAACTCTTCCAGTAAGGCCAGAAGGCCTCAAGTTTGGGGAATGAGGACCACTCCACTGTTAGGGACATTGTGATGCACGATACCTGATTAAGAAAGAACGAACTAAACGAAGAAGAGACAGGGTGAGTGCAGGGACCTCTTGTGATCATTCACGTCACCCTGTCTCCAAGGCGCATCCTTTATTCACCATCGGGGTAATCCTGTTACAGATCCTATTTCAAGCACCTCCAAGGTGGCCAACCAAGGAAGGAGGAGGTCTGTGTGTGATGGGAAAAGGACCGTCCTCAGGGGTAAGGGGCTATGATGGTGAAGGTGATCAGGGCAGCCTAACTGCCAGTGGCCGTCTCACTCACCTGGACATGCTGCCCTCTGACACAGACGCACACAGTGTAGGGGCCGGGCTCCTCGGGGACAAAGGAAATAGTGTAAGTCCCATTGCTGTTATCCTGGACCATCGTCTTAAGAACACTGAATGGGGACAAGAGTTCAAGAAAGACTCATTCACACATGCCTGAGCACCAGTTATAGAAACTGACTACACTTAGGGGTCCCCAAAGGCCAAGGGAATCACTCCATAAGCTTTCCCTGTTGTCAGGAAGCTGAGGAAGGTCACTGGAGAGTTACCACGTCTTCCAGTTAATTCCACACCCGAACAAGTAGCATAAACCAGAGCTGACACAGACGCTAGAGCTGTAAGGGACCTCAGTGACCATCTACACCATGTCCTTAAGTCAGATCCTGGACCTGGGTTTGAGTCTCATCTCTAACTCCCAGTAACTCAATGACCTTACACACATTAGCTCTCCCTGGTCCTTGATTTCCTCATCCGTAACAGAAGGGGCTGGACCGGACAGCCTCTGAGACCATCCGCTTCTAAAGCCATCCACTCCCTAACTTTATAGCGGAGTAACTGAGCTCCAGGGAGGTGAGTGACTTGCCTAGGCCACATCATATCAGAGGTAGGAGCTGAACCCAGGTCCACTGAGTCCCCAGCAAGTAGTCTGCAATATAACATGCTGGCTCATTCCTCAAAGAAATGCAGAGGGAGGGGTGTTAATTACTGCTGAGATCCCTTTCATCTCCAAAACTATTTCTATGATTCTAATCCCAGATAATTTTATCCTATTCTTTCTATATGAATTTTCTTCCTCTTTGTTCCATCCTCTCCTGGCACAAGAACAATGTACTCTCAATATTATTATGTAGCAAAGCAGATACTCATCAGTCCAGCACAGATTAAAGTCTAGAGATATATGGGTCTCAGAGAGTGCCCCCACGAGAGCAAACTGCGTATGGTCACAAGAATCATGTAACACCTGGTCTGACGTAACCTTTGAAGAATGACCTCCTGCTCTCACCCCCACCCAGACAACATTCTCCTGAGAGGGAAAGGCGTAGCCAATGGGAATCATCACTTTTAAATGGAATTTCCAAAGCACCCCAGAGGGCAGGCAGCTTTGCCTATATGACGATGGTCACTGCACCTGTATCCCCAGATACTGGGAGTCTGGAGTTTTCAGTTCTAGGTGTGTGTTACCCGTGAAACTTAGCTGTCGGATACCAACCAGTCCTTCTTATTTTTATGGCCGACGCTCACTCTGATGTGCTCTCCTCCTCTGTCCATGTGCTTCCCCAAAATATCTCTGCAGAGCAGGGTGAAAGTGACTTGCTGCTTCTCCCAAGCTTTGTGGATGTCTGAAGAAGTAAGCATTAAGTAAATAATTACTGCAAAAGAACAAATTTAAAGGACTGAAAGTACTTTATTAGACAGCAGTTTACTACACAGCCTTTAGAGAAAAAAAAATAATTTACCTTTGCCTCATCCTGCCTTCTCAGCCTGCTCCACAGCCATTCTTTCTACCTTGTCACTGAGTGACTGCCCCTAACTGCAAGTCACTCGTCATGCAGCAGCTGGTTTTAGGTCGTGTGCCCTGGAATATACCTCAAGCCCACCCCCAAGACCAAACCAGAGATTCGGGCAATGAGAATCTCCAGGTATCCTCTAGAAAGACTGGTCATACGGCAACCCCATAGGAACCCTGAAGCAGAGCCGTACCCACAGTCAGGAAATGAACCCTAAGGGCAATTATGAGCTTTCTGAGGCAGCTCCAGCTTCAATTCCAACTCACGTTGCCAACTGCAAAATGGACCAGACCACTTGGCATTTGGATCTGGTCCCTGTTGTCCTTTTTTGGGATTACTGGTAAAATAGGAAAGCTATAAGGGATCACCTAAAGATCACTTAGTGTAGCACTTTAATAGAGGAAGAAATTGAGACCCAGAAAAGTCAAAGGACCAGTACACCCCAAATTAATGCGCTTCCCTTTAGGAAAGGCTAAAGTGTAATAGGAACGGAAGAATTAAGAAAAGGCTCCTTTCTGACTCCTTACCTTAATCATTATTATTCTCATTCAGGGTCTGTCTTGGGATAGAGAGGAGATTTAGGCCAAGGGACAAACAAAGTGAATGTGGAATCAAAATTCCAGCTATGTAGAAAGGAAGGAGGAAGACGCAGCATCTAAATTATGCCTAAATCATAGAAGGATTCCTTCCTTCCTGTTCAGTGAGCCACTGAACAGGAAGGAAGGAATCCTTCTGGAAGCTATAGTCCTCAGAAGAAGCTGGGCACCCTGTGTAACACAAACTACAAGGAAGCTCCAGCAGGCTGGTTCCTTACTTAGATTCCACAAGAGCACAGTTCTCTGGTCCCAGCCCTCCCTCTCCTGGGATTCTGGTCACTGGAGAAAATCCCAGAGGAATATGGCCCGAATCAGCTTTCCCCTGGGGATCCCCTATGGATCACCCTAAATGTTACTGCTGGCCTGCTAACCGTAGATATGGATTGTCTTGGGCTACTCCACAGGCTGCTGGGCGACCCCAAATGTTTCCAGTATCCTCTGGAAGAGATTTTCCTAAAAAAAAAGGACGACTCAGGGACATGACTGAGTTGTAAAACAGAAGTTTTCAAACACACAAGAGAGAGGATTTTGTTCCCAATTCTGCCCCTAACTAGTTGTGATCTTGGACAAATCAAGTCACCACTGTTGGGCTTCACCTGGAAAATGACAAGGCTCTTTCTAGCTCTAGCCCAACCTGACTTTAAGGACAGAACACAGGAAAAAGGATTCTGTTATTCCAAATGGAATTTCCAGAATTCGCCCTTTCTTTCCTCGTCTCCCCCGCTTCCATTGGGAGCCTACTCTAACGTATAACGTGGGCACTACAGGGCACAGTGTGACTGCTAAGGCACTGCTGTCACCTTCTCTGGCTCTCATACCTGTCCACTTTAGAGAAATAAGGCACAGTCTTTGAGTAGCTGGGCAACTGCTACTTTCCTCAAGTGAAAAAATTAACACCTCATGACCTTTTAAAGAAGGTCTATAAAATGTTTCCCTGTGACTCCCATGGTAACGAGATGAGAAGGACGTAGGTGTCCAGTTTTTCAAATGGGATCCCCTGTGCTTCAGTAAACTGATCAGAAGGGAAATGCTCTCAAGGTGAGTGCTGGGCCATGCCCTGCAGTACAAGAAGAGTCCATCCCCAAAGACATCCAGAGGTGAACAAGAAATGCTTCCTTACCTTCCCCTTGGAGAAGGCACTTGGATGGATCAACCCCTTTGGTGAGAATGGCCCCAAACACTTCATAGCCACCATACTGGCCCGCCTTCTCCTGCGGGGAGAAGCAGATGCCGTCGTCCACCCCAGGGCCAACGCTGTAGTCGGCTTTCTTGAGCTTCTTCAGCCGGCTCGCCACAACCCCCTTGGTGATGAGGATCTCCAGGTCGGAGCCATTACTCAGCAAGCGTTCAGTGAACTCAACCCCAGTCCTCAGGTCTGCCAGCAGCTGCTCCACCTGGAGCTTCTGGAGGTGCAGAGAGTTCTCTTTCTGGATCTGGAGGTCTTCTAATTGCTTCAGCAACTGATCACAGTGTTCTCTGATAGCGGTGATGTAGCCTTCACGAAACTCCTGGACGTCGGCAGACAGAGCATCCATGCGGCTCCGGAGGGCACTGCCCACACCCTCGATCTGGGCCAGCGCTCTTTCCAAGGTGTCCATGTGGGGCTGGGTGCTGTGAAGGAGCTCCTGCATGGAGTTCCCATGCTTGTGGATAACGTTGCTAATCAAGTCATAAGTGTGCTCCCGATGCTCACCTACCACACAGTCCTGGCACACTGGCTGGTCACACTGCTCACAGAACAGGCTCAGCTCCTCAGCAGGGTGGATGGAACACATAATCGGCCTCCCAATCTGGCTGTATCCTTTCGGGTCCCTCATGGGCACGACAGAGTGGGAAGCAGTTTTTTTTTGCCTCCTAGGTTAAACAGACAGGGACAAGAATAGATGGAGATTATGACTCAGCAAAATGCGTGGTGGCTATGCAACGTAGGGGGCTGTAGGGTCTAAGCCCACTTCTGCCATTTCTTTAGGTCAAATTATTCAACGTTTCTGATTGTGCGAAAAAATGAAATCACTGTACTGACTGACTTGTGATCAGACATAAAGGTGCAGGAGCTGCCAGTAAAAAAAAGACACAAAGTAGTTTACTGAATGAATGAATATACCAAGTGCCACAGAAATTGTGACCACAGAATCTCAGAGGCAGAAGGCACCTCAGAAGCTATCTAGTGTTATCAGCACTCGATTAGGAACCCCTTCTACCATATAGCTGACAAGTAGTCATCCAGCCTTTATTTGAAAATCTTCTGGAAAGGGAACCCATTACCTTCCAAGATGGCCCCATTCCATTCTTGGATAACTGATTAGGAAATGTGTCCTTCCAATACACTTAAATACATCTCCTTGCCACTACTATTGATCAAAAACCATTAAAACTCTGACAACCAGCAGAGACTCTATAACACAGCCTACAGACAAGTTCTAAATTAGGTCCATGGTTTTCTTAGAATGCTAAAATCTAGGCAATTTCAGCTGTATATCTGACCCCCCAAATGTCTGAGCATCTAAGAAAAAAGCCACCTCAAGGCACAAGGGGGAGTAAATTCCGAAAGGTCACCGAAAGGTCACCGGGAATTAAAAAGGGGATTACACCCCTCTGCCTATGTCTGAACAAATTGAAACACGAGCCTGCAGAGTGGTTTGCCCTTTGGCAAACAGGAGAGAAGCTCTCCAGTTAAACTCTACACTAGGAGATGGAAAATCTGCTAAATGACTCAGCAATGACCCTGCAAGGGAACTGAATTATAGAGTAGCTTGTGGGGAATCAGTCCAAATAAATTTCAAGTAAAAGGCTCTGGAAGGGCATTTTTTCCAGGTAGTAGCTACTCCCCGAAATCAGCCGTGAAAGTTTTCCCTGTTACACAACCACCCCTGATGTTTGGCTGCTCCTAACAGAGAGCTCTACTACTTGTAAACACTTATAATGGACATCAGAAGAATACAAGGAGAGCCCCCAATAGTCAATGGCATCTTTGACATGAGCTGCCTTCTTTCGGCTTCCCCACAAGAAAGGTCCAGATCAGTGACCAATCCTAAATAAAGAAAACCATCAGCCTCTAGGAATCCATTTAAGGTAAAACAAGCCTGATCCTGTGCTAGAAGGTGGGGCCTGTGGAAAGAGTCACCTGGGAGGGACCTGCTGTCAGCTGCCTGTTTGACAGAGACTATTAAGGATCATCTCACAACTGCAGATTAAAAGACAAGAAGACATACTATTCCTCTGATGGCCCTACTAGGAAAAAAAATCATGGACAAATACCTTGGGTTACTGTAGCCACAGAACCACTGTGAGCAGCTACATGGCGCAGTGGAAAGAGCGCCAGACCCAGGGGCAGGAAGACCTGAGTTCAAATATGAACTCAGGCACTCACTAGCTGAGTGACCCTGGACAAGTCACTTATCCCTGTTTGCCTCACTCTCCTCATCTGCAAAATGAGCTGGAGAAGGAAAGAGCAAACCACTCCAGTATTCTTGCCAAGAAAACCCCAAACAGGGTTGTGAAGAATTGGGCATGACTGAAATGATTCAGCAACAACATTGTGTGTGTGGGGGGGGGCGGTGTCCCCTCAGGGGCACAGAAATATCTAGGAGTTGGTTTGCCCACCAAATACTAAGACATCCAAAAGCAGTCCTGCATTCTGGTCCTGGGCCTATTACTTATTACCTGTGTGATCTTAAGCAAGTCATTTCCCCTCTGTGGGTTTCAGTTTCCTCAATCTACAAAATGACAAATTTTGACAGGGATTTTTCTTTTTTTGTCTGACACAGTGTTGTCTTCTATGCATTTGGCATTTAATGATCACTGAACTGAATTGGGGTCCACAAAAGAGATTAGTGTTTACTTCCACTCTATTAGAGAAAGTTGTCCTTTCCATAGTGAATTTCTTCTCCGGGACTCTGTGCCCCTCCACTTAGCCCCAGGACAAACGGGCGAGCCCTTCTTTACCTATGAGCCTGGCTGCAGAACTGGCAGAGATTCACTTTGCAGGTTAGACATCGACTCTCCACTTCCCTGTCACTGCACAGATCACACACCACGCCTGGAGTGTCCTCCTGCAGATTTTGTAGCAGCACCTCATTTATAGCCAGGTGGTCCATGGTTAAGGCCTTCACTCCTCCAGGAGGCAGATCAACCTCCGTATCACAGACTGGGCACAGGATGCTAAGCTGTGGCTCCAGCTGTTGGGGCTGCTTATCCCAGAGCCTCGCATCCTCTGAGGTTTTTCCTGGGTCTGGTGGTCGCAACACCAGGACAGAGAAGGGCTCTAACTGTTTTAGGCAGGTCGTGCAAAACGTGTGCAAGCATGGCAAGATCCTGGGGTCTTTAAAGAGTTCCATGCACATTGGACAGCGAGTCCTGCCTAGGCCTCCAAGTGCAGGGTGGCTAGAGAGCTGCATCCCAGCCCCCTGGGGCGCCTGGTCCGCTTCTCTTTCTGACATTTCCCAGAGGTTTTTCCAAAGCGTGCCTACGATGAAGCAACAGAGGGGTTAGGACCATCCCAACAGGGGAATGCCTTCCAAGTCAGAAATCTAATAAACAGACAGCCAAAAACAGAAGGGGGAAAGAAAATGCAATTCCCTAACACCTGGAGATGACGTCTCCTGCATGCAATTTACCAATTTGGATATTACCCAGGGATGCGTCGCCCCCCCCCCCCACCCCAAGCCCTTCCACTGTGCTTCAATTCTACCTACAAAGTAGCTGGTCAGTGGGGGACTCATTACATCTCCAGGCCCCCTCCCCAAGCAGCTGCTACACCCCGCCACTCAAGGATCCAGCCCCAACTTGGTCCTCCTTCTCCCCAGGAGCACGGGCCACCCTGCAACTCCCTCCTCCCCACCCCATTCCCTGTCACGTGCCAACCTCCAGCGCACGCCCCGCCCCCTTCCCTCTACGTAGTCAGTGCCTGCCGCTTGTACCCCGAGGCTCAGTTTGCTTAGCCGCCGCCTCCGCCTCCGCCTCCGCCTCCCTTGCCTCACGCACCCCGCCATGCCCCCATTCAGAATGACACTGACCTTTCCCAATCACCATTGGACCATTCCAGTCTTCGCCAATCACGTAACGGAGAGGGCGGCACTAAAGTGGAGGAAGTAGGTGAGTGGGCCTCCGGAGGAAGGATTTACTGAGGGGATAGGAGGGGTGGGGCGGTACTGGTTAGAGGTCAAGCAGGAGTCACCCTTTTACGGGCAACTATCTCTTACAGCTCTGAGGTAACCGAAAAGTTCTCCCGATATCTTTTAAAAATCAAACAAACCTTGGGGAAGGATAACAATAGAAACAGGAAGTGCCGCCTCTTGACCTTCGGATTGGTTGTTGATGATGTCAGTTAAATTCTGTGAGCCCTGGAGCCCCAAGGGATTCTGGGAGATGTAGTTTCTTCTCAGCCAGACTATTTCCCCTTCTCCCAGGAAAGTACTCCGAGGGAAATGGAAACTTCTCCCTTCTAGTGCTTTTCGAAATCCCGAGTGTTGTCACCCTCAAGTTGATGCTCTTCTTTTCCCTCCCACATTCTTTCTGGTGATACGATCCCCCTGCTCAGGGCTAGAAAAATCAGAGGACTGGAAGGGGGAGGGGGGTCCTCTCCCTCTACCCACGAAGGTCTTTCTTTTTTGATTCTGCAGGTTTTAGGGGCTCGTTGCCTAGGTCTCTTACCCTCACTCTCCCCATTGCCTTCCCATACAGAACTCTCCGTCTGTCTGATAGGAAAGGGGGCCAACAACCTGGCACTCACTCGGGACCCTTTGCCCCTAAATCTTGGTGTGTGACCTTGGGCGAGTCACCTAATGTCCACGGAGCCTGTTTCCTCATTTTTAAAATTTGGTGGTTGCATCGTGTGGACGCTTAAGGTACCTTCCGGCTCTGACCTTCTGTGATTTCATAATTCCATGCCACCATCACCGTACAGCCCGTCTTTAGTTTTGTGACTCAACAAGTATTCATTGAGGACCTACTATGTGCCTCGTGGGCTGGGGTATATCTAGGGAAGCAGGAAATAGCAAAGGAGTGTAAGACAAGAATTTCTTGAGTTCATTATTTAGTTAGGGAGATGATATTAGCAGATAGGATATTTACTGAGTACTGCCTATCTGGAAGGTATTGGTGAGAGGGGATAAAATGAACACTCGGTCTACTTCAGCCCTATTCTGGCAAAGCCATACCATTGACTTTGTGATCAGCACTTTTCTCACTTTCCCACTGTGCTATTCTTGATGTCTTCTAAATCTGAACTTCACCTTCATCTCCACTTCTGGTGCCTTTACTTCTTTCCTTATTTCCACAATCCATCCACTTCCTTCTGACTTTGCTTTCTTTTCTGTCTGGTTTGGACTCAAGTCATCCATCCCAGGATGCCCTAAAGCCCCTTCTTCTGACTTTTTACTGGGCTTACCATTCTAATCATTGGGTTACCCCTTTTGTTTGCAGACTCTAAACATGGGTATTTCTGATTTGCTGGGAAAAAAATTATGAAACCATGAAACTATGCTGACTGAGTCAACAACAATTTTATGCTGTTATACTTCAACCAGGTCCTCATTGCTACTTGGCAATTCTTTTTATTTCTTATTTTCTTCCACTAGAATGTAAGCTCCTTGAGGGCAATCTTGTTTCATTTTTGCCTTAATGTCCTTAGCACTTTGCATATATTGTGTACTTAAATCCTTACTATGTTCCCCACAGCAGCTTTTTTAACTCATGTCTTATCTCCCTTACCCTATAATATAATCCTACTGCTTGCCTTTTTTAAAAAATCTGCAAATCCATAGGTATTGTGAGTTTCATATACGTACTTCATCTACTAATGAAAAGATCTACACCTTCTCTGAATATTAGTCTTAGTAATTTGCCAGAGGACACCCAGAGTTTAAGTGACTTGCCCAGGGTCACAAGCCACTAAATGTCAGATACAAGACTTATGGAGGTCTTCTTTACTCAGAAACCAGCTCTCTATGCTGCCTCTTGTATCTTAATTTACTAAAAGTAATCCAAGTCATCAGACACAATCTCCACTGTTTACCTCTCCGTCTCAAAATATCTGTGACTATTCACCCACCCTTTACATCTCAGGAGGCCTTTCCTCCTATAGAAAGGTTACCCTTCTGCCTGTGTTCTGGATCCCATCCATATTTTGCTGTCCCTCCTGTGACCTTAGTCCATTATCCCCTTCTATCCACCATCTCTTTCAATCTCTTTCTCTTTGTAATGTGTTCCTCTTTATCCATTCTACCTACAAATATGCTCAGGCTCCCCCATTCCTTAAAGTTTTCCTTGACTCTGTTATACCTTCCAGTTACGTTCTCTCTTTCTGAAACATTCAAAAGTGGCAGAGTGAAAAGAGCATTGGTCTTGGAGTCTGCCTTGGGGAAGTCACTTCAGATCTTTGGCTCCTCGTCTGTAAAGTGAGGAAGTTCAATTAGAATCTAGTTATTAGATGATTCTCAATGGTTCTGTGACCTGATTTCTCTGCATTTAATTCTTCCATTTCCTGCTAATACTCTACTGAAGTATTTTCTCCAAAATATCTAGTAATCTTCTAATTACCAAATATAGTGATCATTTCTCAGTCCTCATTTTTTTTAATTTATCTGTAATATTCATCTTTATTAGCAATTTCCTCTCCTTGAAATTCTCTATTCCCTCAGCTTTCAAGATACCATTATTTAATCAAAAAGCATTTATTAAGTGTCTATCAGGCTGTGCCAAGAGCTGGGCATATGGACACAAAAGTGAAATAGTCCCTGCCCTTAAGGAGCCTACATTTTATTGAGGGAGATAATGAGAGAGAGAGAGAGAGAGAGAGAGAGAGAGAGAGAGAGAGAGAGAGAG